TGATGCACCTTCCCGAGCAGGCGCAGCCTGCGCGCGTTGGTTACGGCAGGGGCGGGCGGCCCTTGAGGCATACCGACGGAGCCCGTTGCTGCCCTACGCCCAGATCCTGACAGAGTTGTTTAAAAGAGCACTTCGCGTGTGCGCGACATATGCTTCCTTTGCATATATAGGTAGATAGATATATGTGTATGTTGCAAATATACCTCTAGGTAAAAAGGACATACATTGGTAGACATATGTGCACGGCCAACCCCCTCCCCCCAAGGCAACTCTTGCGCATTCTAGTTGCAAAGTGTCTGCGTGCCTCTTTCTTCCACATGTCTGAAACACTGCAAAAACACTGTGTTGCTTTGCATTCCCCTCCACGGTCTTTTGAGGGTTGACCGGCAATAAGTTTTCGGGTTCTGCTGGCTTTGGCTGAAAAATACTGGTTTTCACAGTGGTTTTGAGGGAGAAGCTTGGCCAACTCCAGGCCCCTGAAGAGAAAGAATGTCAAGAACATAGCTCTGCAAGGGCTGGCCTTGGAGGTCAGCCAACCATGCTGCACAGACGGCGCCTTCTTGCAGCTGAGTTTTTCTTGGCAGTAGGGCGCAAGCCTCTCGCCTTTCCCTGTTTGGACTGGCCTTGGATTTCTTCGTCTGCTTCAACACCTTTTTGGGCATGCCGCTGACAATTGACAACGAAATTTGCACGAAGGTAGTTACTGCTGTCGTCAGGCAGTCAGCGCGCGCAACACTTGTGACACGCAAAAGCAACATAAACGAGGCCTCAGAAAGGGGGCAAGTTCTACCCAAAAACAATAGGAGCCCAGGAGCCTAAAAACAAGCGGCCCCTGAGCAGTGCTAGCTACCGCCTCTCCTGGCAATTTTAAGGGTGTCCTCTGGGCAAGAAGGCGCCCATGACCTTTGGATAGCTCACGCTAAGTTCGTCACAAGCCTGTAGAAGACTCCGCCGTTTCATATGCGCATGGCCGTGGATGCAATAATATTGTGAGACTTGTGCCCGCCAGAGGGCAAATTGTCACCTGCCAATGCGCCTGGGAGCTTCCGCTGCAGCGCCAACTTGGCCTCCGACAGTTTTTTCGATCGACGCTGCCACCCTGGAAGCTGCAATTTCATTTTATGCCGGGGCGCGAACCAACAAATCTTCCCTTGCCACTACCTCTCTGGGTCTAGAGCGCGGCCAGCGCGCGCCAGTCTACAGCCAGCCAGCTTCGCAAACCCGGGACGGCCGTGTGGTTGGGACGGCTGTGTGGACGACTCAGGTTGGGCGTGTGGCAGGGCGCACGAGGTTGCCTGGGCGACGGTTTGGCGGTTGGGGCGCGTGCAGCCTCGGCGCGACGAGGCCGGGGGGCTCGCGGGGACGGCGATGTGGCGCAGACTGCGCGCACGCGTGCGAGGCGGCCAAGGTGCAGACTGCGCGCGCGGCTTGCGGACGGCGGCTCTGCGGCGCAGACTGCGCATGGCTGGGAGCCTGCGCCGCGCGGCTGTCCCCCCACTCTGTCTGCGCTTGTTTGCGAGCTCTTCCGCCCCACCCCCTTCCCCTCCCCCCTGGCAAGTAACCAACTTGTTTACAAAGTCTCCAACTGCGCAGCTCAAACTTGTTTGCGAAGACTCCTGAGCCCCGTTCAAGATTGCAAACGAAGTGGGAACTTTGTAAACTTAATGTTGTTGCTGTTCAACATGACACCATGACAACACGCAACCAAAACTTCTCATCCATAAAGCACGCGCAGCAGAAAACTGTCGCGTTGTTGCCTCTCCAGCGCATGATTTGCCCATCTAGGCCTGGAAGGTAGGGCCAAATAGACTAGAACCAAGGATCCTTCAAGGACCGAAACAGGACTAGACGATTTACCTGGTTCCAATTTTAAGTTGCTCTGTACGTTGTAGCATAAGGACTGGAACCGAGGGTCTTTCAACTAAGATGACGACCAAACTAGGACTAGACGATTTCACCATAATTCTTACAGTGTCGGAGTTTCAATTGGAACATTCCACTCAAAGAAATTCCACCGCACCAGTAGAATTGAAATAGAATAGTCAATATTTGAATTAGAAACTATTTCTGGGGTATGTTTTATTGAAATTTTGCCTTACTATTTCAGTGCGAAGTTATATCTTAGAAGTTACATACAACTTAGCAAGTCTATGAAGCAGAATTCACAAGGAACTTCCTTTGTAACGTCCTTTATACTTTCTAGTTATTCAGGAAACCAGGCCCACTTAGACTGGTAAGCTAGAACCAAGGGTCTCTCAACTAGGACTAGGGCCAAACTAGGACTCGCCGATCTGGCTCGAATTCTTCGAGCATTTCGCGCACCGTTTGGTTTGAAATAGAGTTGTCAATTTGGGTATCCCAACTTAGATTAGAAGTTCCGACTGCAGTATGTCCTCAATTGACATTCTTTTGCATTGCATTTAGACGTTAAGCCGAACTCGCTGATTCTACTAAGTTCCGCAAATCAGGTTGGAATCCAAAGGTCCCAAACGTGTTGAATGTGTGAGCTTAAATGGTTTCTGGTTTCTAAAGACAGTTCTATTAGAAAGGATATAGGCAGCTTCAAAGTAGGAATTTTCATTCGCGTCTTTCATTAGGAAAGAGTTCATAGGTCCCAAAATTGTTTTCTCACTAGACGCAGCACTGCCACGGTGAGAAAACACTGCAAAACACACTGCAGAACACAGTGGTTTGTAGCGCTTCCCATACTCAATTCACGTCTCCACCAACGACCGTCTCTAAGTCTCGAGCTGGTTCTGAATAGGACTCAATCCGGAATTACTTGTTCAGAATCCTATTGGAGTTTACATCTTATGTCTGAAATTTGGATTGAACTGCTTTCCCAATAGAGCTTTACAATTCAATTGGAGTATAAACAGAATTTGATGAGGTAAGGCTCCAAGCCTGTACTTAAGATTCAAGGTTCAAGATTCCCTTGAAAAGTCTTCTCTGCAATCTTGAGACCAAGCCCCATCAGAAACCGACTGAAAATTCAGGAGCCTGGATTCAAGATTCAAGCACGTAGAGTTTCGGCCTGCAATCCGATTCAAAGTTCAATCTGGCCTGGATTCAAGACCCAAGATTCAAGACTTCCTGGAAAAAGTTGGCTCGGTGTTATTGGGGAAATCTTTGGAGAGTCTACATTTTGAAATCTGGGTGCGAGTTCACGATTCAAACTTTAAGTGTCCCTGGAAAAGCTTGACCTGGAATCTTGAATCTGGGGCTAGACCGAAAAAGGCTGAAAGAGATTGAAATTTAAATCTGGCCTCAGTTCCAGAATGCCCTTGGAAACACACCTTTTTTACTGCTTTCCACGAACCCGCAAGAAAGCAAAAAACATTGCAAATACCTGTGAATTCTTCAGAAAGGCAGCTCCCCAGCAAAAGTTGCGCCACATACACGTATATATATATATATACTTTTTTAAAACAGGCTCACCCCCCCTGCCTACATGTCCACTTCAAAATGTACGAGATCCTCTTTTATTGAAGACAGGGGGTGTGAGCACATATACGCAAGAAGTGTGCTGTTGTTAGCATATTTTGCGCGTGACCATGAAGACTTCCCAGGGTGTTGCCCTGTTACGGGAAAACGCCAAACGGTCAAGAAGATTTATAAACTTTCCTGCAAGTTTAAAACCTTATGTAGGCTTAATGCGTAGCACATGGACTGTTGAAAGAAACAATCTTCGGCCCAAGGGAACACAATCTGAGCAATTTCTGCAGAATACCGCGTTTCTCAGCATTTTGTTGGACGTCTAATCCCTAGACATTTCCAAGTCCTCCAACATGAATTCCTTTCCAAGGTGGATTTTATTCCGAATTGAATTGGAATGTTAAAGGGGGCAAAAGGTTGTCCTTGAAATGTCTAATGTTGGATTCTCCAAGCCTCATAATTTGGAGCTGGGAGTCCTCCGAAATGTCCAAATATAGATTCCTTTCCAAATACTGCGAATTGAATTGGAATGTTGAAGGGGGAAAATGTTGTTTGGGAAAAACATCTTCGGTCCAAGGGAACACAAACTGAGCAATTTCTGCAAAAAGAAAAATGTGTTTTAGAGCACTTTGTTGGATCACTAATCCCTTGAAATGTCCATTTTGAAACACCTGTAACCTAGAATCTGGAGATCAGAATCCTCGAGCTGTCCAATGTTGGATTCTCCAAGCCTCATAGTTTGGAGCTGGGAGTCGTCCAACAAGTCCACATACACATTCCTTTCCAAATCAGACTTTGCCCCGTTTAGAATATGAATATTGAATAGAATTAGTAAGGACATAGTTCGCCGCAATTCATAATCCACAATAATTTCCATATGTAATCAGAATTTGAATAGGAATGCCTTTCCAAATAAGAAAAATAACATCTCAGTAGAGTTTAAGTACAAAGATAACGCAGACAGAATTAACTTGGCTTCTGAACAGACGAAATTATTTAAGAATTCCTTCCCAAGTACGGCTTAAATTGGAATAGAGCTTATTCTGGAAAGAAATCCCTTGGCCTTTGCAAATACATGTTAATAGCGAACATTCCTAAATATGATCTAGATTAAGTGTTGCTAAACAAATATTGGAAAAATTGGTCCAGACATTTGTCACGAAAGCTAGCTCCTTGGAGCTAAGCTGGAGTTTTGTTTACCTCAGCTCTGCTGAGAGGATTGGGTTGAAAGGTGGAGTTAAGCGTTTAGGCTTGATTTTTCAAGGCACTTTAGGGTCGCGGGGGTTGCCCCCCCCCCAAAATTGAATGATTCAGCCACGTCCGTTTGGGGGGGGGGGAAGGGCTCGAATCCCGCCTGGACCGCCTGCAGCATCTCTGCGCGCCTCTCTTGCGGCTGCATGAGCGTGAGTGTGCGCGTGCGTGTGGGCGTGCGTGCGTGCGTGCGTGCGTGCGTGCATGCTTGCGCGCGTGCGTGCGTGCGTGCGTGCGTGCGTGCGTGCGTGTCTGTGTGTGTGTGTGTTTTTCACGGTACTTTCGGGTCAGGCAAAGGGAGTGTGTTGCACAACCGGATGGAAGCCACTGTGTTGGCCATGCCGTATGCGCTGCCAACCAGCTCTGTGTGTGTCTGTGTGCGTGTGTGACGGCCTGAGAGCCTAGCTCGAGTTTTTGTCTTACATCGAGACTGCGGTTGCGCGTTTGGGTTTCATTTTCCGCGGTACTTTCGGGTCAGGGGAGGGGGGTGTGTTGCACAACCAGATGGAAGCTGCTGTGTTGGCCATGCCGTTTGCGCTGCCAACCAGCTCCGGTCCCGCGCGGTGACTCTTACATGTTTTTACTCTGTGTTTGGGACTGCTTTTCTGGGCAAGAAGCACGCGCGACATGAACATCGGCGAGCCGTGGCTCTGTCACTGCGGGGCCCCGGCCGTGCTTAGCGTGCCTTTGTCTCCCCCAAGCCGCATTTTGTTGCAACCCTTAAGGAAGCTTAAGGGTCGATACGTCAAACTTGTTGGTTCGTGCGTGGCTCAAGTTGTTTGTATGTTTGTTTCGTGTTGAGATGCGTTCCGTGGACATTCTTCTACCACCGGGCGGGTCGACTGTGAGTGGACGCACGTTTTGCTGCAACCCTTAGGGACGCTTACGGGTCGCTGCTGCTTGACCCTGCCAGAAAAAAGCGCTGGCTTTCGTGGCCTTGTCTCTAGTTTGGCATGCGGAGGTCTCAGGGCTTTCATTTTCAGGAGATTTTGTGCTTCTGGGTCTGTGCAGGTTGCAGAGCTCAATGCCGCAAAAAACATCATGTGTTCAATGCTTTTGCCCTGGTGTGCACAAAACCACAGTAAAAACCAGCGTTTTCAAACAAAGCCACGCTCGAATCTGAAAACGGATTCCGTTTTCGCTTTGTTGCCTTTCAAGCGTAAACAAAGCAAGCATTTGCTGTCATATAGAAGGAGAGAGGGAGAGTGGTAGTTAAACAGAAAGAGATCTAGTTACATAGTTATAGATGGTGAGATTGTGTTTCTCAGGGACAAGGGCAATTATATAGATAAGCACAGAGATCTAGGTCCAGGTTTGCAGGCGCAGAGAGAAAGAGTGTGGTACTAAGACAGGGAGAGACGCAATTATGCATACATAGAGAGGTTTAGTTATAGCGAGAGAGAGGGCCAGTAATATAGGTTTATGTATATAGATAGAAGGAGAGAGGGAGACTGATAGTTTTATACAAAGAGAGAGAGAGATAGTTAGGGCATCTACAGTTGTATGTTTGTAGACAGAGAGATATGGAGATAGGCATATATGTATAGATAGAGAGGTGTGAGTATTTTAAATAGAGAGAGAGTTAGAGAGTGGTAGTGAAACAGGGAGAGATAAAGTCAGACTTTTGTGAAGGAGAGGTTGACCATCAATCAGAATGCTGAGGCAGGGTCTTCTTTGTTGCCAGCAAAGCTTCGTTCTGCGCAGCACCAGTACTGGTGTAGGAACCAGGATATGTGGGTTGCGTCTGGGACACTGTGCGAATGGTTAATGACTATGTTCATCAAAAAGCCATCCCAGTGAGTGTGATGCAGGCTGTCTCAGGGCCTTGGTTCTAAAGGGCTGCCTTCTGCACGCGCGTCTGGCAATCAATGAGGCATGCCAAACCACGGTTTTGGAAGGGGGGGCTTTGCATATATATATATATACATATCTTTAACGATTGATATATTTCCACCCGACCTGTCTGAAAATTGAGGCCTTGCAGAGTTAGTGTGTAGCAGGGTAGATCCTTGGAGAGGGGTTCAGTGCGCATATATATATATATATAATATAGATCTATATTGAAATCGCTACGTACGCGACCCAGCGTGGTGCAATGGATTTTAAAACCTTTTTCATTTTTTCATGGAAGTGATGCTGGGGATGCTGGACATGCAAGGGATGCAACCACACAACGTACAGGAACACACCCAATCTTCGCATCCAAAATTTCAAGACTTTCAGACACGCAAAATTGACCAAACACAGAAAATGCCAGAGATGTCGAGAATGCTGGGAATGCAGCCGGCAAAAACCAGGGTTTTCTTATATTCCCCAAAATCAACCATCAAAAGCAGATACTGTGAAAATTGCAAAAACACTCATTTTTGCAAATTCAAACAAAAACACTGGACGACACCCAGCACACCATGCCCAAAAAAAGGCAGCCCCAAAAGCCTTCGGCTTTGATAAGAGCTTCCGAAGGAAGACCAAGTTGCGGACTGCCATCTACACGCTCGACTGGCGCCGGCGGATTTACATTTCTGATGTGTAATGATCGTTGTGTTTGATTTTTCGGGTATAGCGCTGGACTGTAGTTCGTTGCTGGCATTGCCAAACTCGCGTGAAACAAACGATGCATGATGATGGAACACCCCTTGATCTTGATAGTTGCTGATGTCTCAGATGGATGTTTACTGTATTCAGGATGCCCTTTCGGAGCCGCCGATTGGAGATTGGACTGGGTTTGCCTGACCAGTTAAGGCCCAGTCTCAAGAAGCGGCTGGCATCATGGCGCTCCACTCAGTCGAGCTCATGCTGAAAGGATCAGCGCATCTCGGTGAAGGATGATCATACACCCTCGAACGGGGAAAAAGTATCAGGCGGATGCTGTCGTCGTCAACTCCTTATACAAGGGTGCCTACCCAGTAAATATCCGTGACCCGCACGAGTTTGACAACAGCGCATGTGAGGTTGAGGCGGGCGCGTTCCCTTTTGCTTAGTGGCAAGCAACAGCCACAGGTTGTTGCCCAAAGATCGGTCTTGGCACTTCTTCAGATGCAGAAGCATGAAAACGAGCGGGTTGCTTCTAATCTTTGCTCAGGTCTCGAGAGACTCCTGCTGCTCAGGCATGTGCGACGCTCTACTCAAGTCAGACATGACTTGCGAAATCATCCATGAAGCTTTACCGGAATTCGACATGACCGACTCATGTGGAAGATAAGGTCTGGTCTTCAGACCATGAATGCCATCACACCGGGAATGTGCGTTTTTGTCGTCAAATTGTAGAGTGCCGCCTCAGATTCCGTTTCAAGGAAACACTCCTGAACTCCTTTATCAGACCCTGACTAGGCTTCTACTTGCGGGGCTTGCGGCTGCTCGGTGACGGACCACGAGGCAGTGACGGAGTGTTTTTTTTCCTGCGCTTCTTGGCCAAGAGGTGCGTGGCATTTCGGGTGACGACTGGTCGAAGGCCTCTTACGTCTAAGGCGCAGTCTTGCAGCCGTTCACCTCACATTCCATGTTTCTTTCTGTGGGGGGAAAACATCAGCTTTTGCTGTTCAATTGAGGTGAAAAGCCTCATGCAAGACAGAACGTAGCGAGTAAAAATCAGTGGGTTGTGTTTTGGGTGGTTTTTGTGGGCTTGGATTGGGTTTGGGGAGGCTTCGCGTGGGCTTGTGTGGGTTTCGTGCGGGTTGCGAGGTTTTTGTGGAACCCGCCAAAACCTAGCACCCCAACCCGCACAAAACACAGCCCACCCATAACCCACGCAAAACCTAACCCAATTCCCCCACAACACCCGCAAAACCGCAGAATCAAGATTTAACCACAACCCACCTCTTTTTGCACCGAAACACCCCGCGCAGCGCCAGCCCGGGCAGCCTTCGCTGACTGGACGCAGGCTATGCTCGTAAGTTCTGGCGAGCAGCGCATTTTGGAGGCGCGTGACAACTTCGTCCTTAGCGAAGCGCTTCCGTTTAAACTTAGTCTTAGTTGTATCAGAAACAAAAACTGGACTTTTTCCAGGCCGCTGGGCTTGGGATCACTTTTGCATGGCTTCAAAAGAGACCCCGCCGCTTTGGGAAACACCCCGGCTGCGGACCAAGTCTTGGGACGAACTGTTTTATGGTTTTCAGTTCCTTGACCCAATGTATCAATATGGGCTTTGACACACTTCAAGGATGGTAATGTACAGTGGTCCTTCGCAGAAACTCAGTGTGATGTTCAGGTTTCAAGTTCGGCTGTTTGCCCACAGATTTTCCCTCAGACAAATGTTGAAACATCATAGTAGTCTGGGAGGGTCGCATTTTGGTTCTGGTTGTTCATTGTCATTGCATATCTCTTCTGACGGCGACCGCGGAGTGGAACCTCGGCTGTTTGGTGTGCTGGGGAGCCAGAAAACAACCCGCCCATCAACGCAAATATACCATCGCGGTTCGCCGCTTCAGCGCCGACGCTTCAGCCTTTTCAGCAGTTTCCAGGCTTTTCGGCCGTTTCGGCCGCTTCATCCGTACCAGTTGTTTCAGCTGCTTGCGGGTTGGCTTTGGTGTTGGGTTGGTCTGGGCTGGTTTAGGGTGAACCTGGGGTTGGTTTTGGTTTGGTTTAAAGTTACCTTCGGGACGGCTGCTTTAGGGTCGTAGGGTTGGTTTAGGCTTGTTCCGGTTGGTTGGGGTTGGAAAAGAGTTGGCTTAGGGTTGGTTCAGAGCGGTTTCGGGTTTGTTTTGGGGCTGATTTAGGGTTGCTATAGGGTTGCCTGAAATTTGGTTTCGGATCGGTTTATGGATTTTAGGATTGCTTTTGCTTGCGGGGTGCTTAATGTTGATTTAAAGTTGGTTTAGGGTTGGTTCAGGGTGAAGATGGGTCGGTTTAGGTTTGTTTTAGGATTGGCTTAGGGTTGCTTTAGGGTTGGGTTTTCGGTTGGTTTCGGGTTGGTTGAGGGTTGATTTGGGGTTGATTTGGGGTTGGTTTGTGGTTGGTTCGTGGTTGGTTCGGGGTTGGTTTGGGGTTGGTTTGGGGTTGGTTTAGGGTTTATGGGTTGGTTAGGTAGCGTTGGTTTAGGGGTTGGTTTAGGCTTGGGTCTGGTTCTGGGTTGGTTTAGGATTTGGTTTAGGGTTACGTTAGGCTTGGTTTGGTATTGCGGTAGGGTTGTTGTAGGGCTGCTTTAGGGATGGTTTAGGGTCAGGGTTGGGCTCGGGGGTTGCTTCAGGGTCGGTTTGGTGTTGCTCTTTGGGGTTGTTTGAGGTTTAGGGTTGCCTTAGGGTTGTGCTCAGTTGGTTTAGGGTCGGTTTCTGGTTTGTCTCGGCTACTTCAGGGTGGTTTAGGCTGGTGTCGGGGT